TATTCGGATTGCAACCAGAGTCACGGAACGAATTAAGTTCGTAAACCGAGGTTCCACTCTACTCTTCCTCCTCCTATTTTCCCTACAACAGCAACCCTGTGAGGTGAGTTGGGCTGAGAGAAAGTGACTGGCCCAAAGTCACCCAGCTGGCTTTGTGCCTAAGGCAGGACTAGAACTCACCATCTCCTGCTTTCTAGCCTGGGACCTTAACCACTAGACCAAACTGGCTCTCATTATAATGCAATATATGTTCAATATGGTTCACAGCTATTACTTAACAGTGAATATATTTAGAATTAAACTGACAAATATTATTTCACATTTTTTTTACTTCACTAATTTGTTCAAGGAGATTTATAAATAGAACAAACTGATTTATTGCACTAGTTTAGACATCTTATTAACTGAGTATTGTATCTTGGTGAGTCCATCCAAAACATTATTTGGATCTAAAGAAAAATACAAAGGCTATTAATAATAGATAGGAATTTATTCCAATGCATCAGTAGTTATCTCAAAACAGAAACTAATGCATGAAACTGGAATGCCTACTTTGCTGTAACACGTAAATTGCAGACAGATAGTGGATCTGGATTACCACTTGATTCATGTCATGTGGTAGCAGAGGTGATCACCTCAGGAACAGACCTTGTACAGAAGTGATCTTGGTTCCAATCCCATAGATCTAAGCAAAACTTATGAAACCTCCTATGCCTGTAGGATTCATCAATGGGATCAGGAAAGGAACTCTGTCACATCTTTTCTCCCCAAGTATTTCTTCCAACGGCTGACATGGCCAAATGCTGCATGATGCAACAAGTGGTGATCCAATGGGGAAGCACCAGTCTATGAGCCAGTCAGGAGATTCAGCTGCACTGTGATAGCTGGAACATTTAAGGACGATTAGGAAGAAAAGTATCTTCGCATATGTCCAGCTTGTGTTTGAGAATGCTATCTCAAGAACCTTGGTTACATATGGAGTATATAATAAATGCAGTCATAGATAAGTATCTGCACATTGGAGGGCTTTTTACACACATTCCTGAACTACTGCCTGACTTGGAGGAGCCACAAGGAATTCTTAAGTACTTGTAAATCTGCTAGTGATGCCAGGATACCAGTTCATTCAGCATTCCTTCCATCTCTATTCAATTCTGCATTACAGAAAGTGCAAAGATGTCATTTGAGGAGAGAAAATCAGCTACTCCTTCCATTTTTTTTTAGTTCATTTGTGAAGTATTCAATATACTTCTCTTCTGGCCAGTTCTGCACACAAATAAACTCTATGTTAATGTCCAGCTTTTGGGGATTATTTTTTATAAATTTGGAGATTTCTTACATGCAATTCATTACACATGGCTAACCAATATGACTACTGTTGTCAACCAATCAATAGAGCAATCTTATGGCCTTGTTGGAAGATTCCAAATTTGGAGTGCTCTGACAAACTGTAATATTTTGCCAATTGCTTTCTTGAGCTGATCTTGTGAGGCAGAGAGAGAAAAAGAAGTAATTAATGCTGGATTGTCCCTCAAAACCTAGCAGCTTTATTCGATTTTCTGAAGAGGAATCTAAGATCAGATTCTGCCCCCCTTGTTTCCATGAAATGATATCTGACAAATCCAATAAGCTACAGTAGAAGTAAAGTTCTTTCAAATCATGCTTGATTCTTGGTGACTTAATAAAATGTGTAAGTTTTTTTGGCAACAATATAGAAGCTATTTGCCATCTTCAGGTTTTTGCTTTTTTTTAAATGACCCAATCTAGCATCCAGCCCTTTCTGTAGTGTCTTGTGCTGGCAATTACAAGAGCAGGAGGTCAGATGTAGATCAGAAGTCTTTATGGCAGCTCTAAATCTCACCACTGGGCAGGAATGTGAGAGTCAGGAAAAGCAATTAATCTTACTTCTGAAGCCCAAGTTCTCTCCAGACAAATCCAAGATCCAGGAATCTGAACTGAGTTAGTCTTGTACCAGTCCAGAGATCAGCCAGGAACTTAGAAGCCGCACACATTCAGGAAGTCAGGTGCAAGGTGGAAAGTTGTTTTCTGATGGAGATCAGAGTCCCAGGCCCTTCTCTTATAGTGTTGACTCAGGCATGTCATTTTCCTGCTTTGTTCTTTTGAGGAACTTCACTGAACATCTTTATTCTGTTCACTTGATCTTTCTGCACATGCAAGGGCTGAGGATCTGCTGTAGCTTAAGTTCTGAATCAATCCAACTCAGCTTCCTGTGTTGCTTTTGCAACAAGTGGGTGATTACCTGAGTGCTGCAGAACTGCAGACTTATCTTCCAACAAGCCCTGCTCTTTTTGAGCCCCATCTGCAGAACCTTGAGACCCTTTCAGCTCCTGAATGGCAAGGTCGGCATCTGTCAAGCCCTCCTCTTCCCACTGAGAGTTTGACTCATCAGGCAGGCCCATAACATCTGATCATCGACCATCAAAGTACCAATGAAGTCTGAATCTCTTAGTTGCTAAGCCCAGATAAAGTTTGCCGGGTGTTTTACCTGCTGAGACTGAGGCCACAACATTGCATCATAAAAGTGACTCATGTAGACATGCATGCTATTCTTTTTAAATGTCAATACCTGGCCCACCTTAGAGTTGAGATATAGGGCCAGCCTGTTATGGGCCTGCCTGATGAGTCAAACTCTCAGTGGGAAGAGCAGGGCTCGACAGATGCCGACCTTGCCATTCAGGAGCCGACAGGGTCTCAAGGTTCTGCAGATGGGGCTCAAAAAGAGCAGGGTTTGTTGGAAGACAAGTCTGCAGTTCTGCAGCACTCAGGTAATCACCCACTTGTTGCAAAAGCAACACAGGAAGCTGAGTTGGATTGATTCAGCTTGCAATTACCTGTGATTATCTCTTGACCTAATTTAAAATTCCAGTAAACTCACTGCATCTCATTTGGAAAAGAATATTTACAGACCTAAAACCAAGAAATTGATTTTTTAAAATGAAATCAAGTTCCTTAAGTCTTTCACTGAGTGTCTACAAGAAAAGCTATCACCTAACAACTACAACTGCAACCTCATATAACCCTTTTAAAACTGACATCAAATAATTACTTGGATTGATATTCACTTTCTTAACAATAGGCAATTATTTTATGCTCTGCAACTGGAATGCATATTTTATGAGATTTAAAAAAAACAGTCTTGATTGTTAATATGTTATTATTGGTCTTAAGGATGTTTAGATCTAAAATAATGTTTGGCTTCTACAAGTATATTTACACAAGTATAATTTGGCAGAGATTTACAAAAAGTGCCATTATTTAGATGAAAAAGCTATTTGCAATGGCTTCAGATCAACTTATAAGGTCTCTTTTCCCATCCTATGAAACTGGTTCTTCTCATACTTGACAATGGTTGGCCCTAAGTGATAAGAAATTAATAATTACCATAATAATTCTGACATTTTGTCAAAACATGTGAGTCAGTAAAATGACATAATGCATAAACACACAGTTTCACCACTGCTTCAAAAACATTAGATAAATCAAGTTGGAAAATGGAGAAGGAAAACTCTAAAATGTAAAGTGCACTCCTAAGGGCTAAATGCATTTATAGTGGACTCTGGTACATATCTCTTAAGAAGTGACCCCTCTCATGTTTCACAAGGCTTATCTTAAGTATATTTATCCCAAAGTTGCCCCAATGTTTCACTTGCTTACAGATGCCTCCTGTTTAACAAACCTGTGTTCCACTTGGTGCTGCAATATAAGTGAAATTAAAATTTATACCTTGAAAATTTGGACTTTTAGAACCATATCCCAGAGTTGTGCAGGTTCTAGATTGTTTGGAAGTTTTGTAAGTTTCCGCAAATTGAAGCCAGGAAAACTGTAATTCTAAAAAACAAAAAGAGCCACATAGTCAGCCTACCTAGTTGATTTTAATATATCTAAGGAGTATTAGGTCCAAACAACTGACATCAGACATCATACCAAGGCATGGATGATTGAATAAACTATAATTAGTTGGACCGTATAACCCTAACATATAAACTATGGTTCCAGACTACAATGATTCACACAATACTAAGCCAAAATCAATCATGTGCTGGCTTAGCACAATGCGTGATCCCTACTTACAAGCCTCATGAAGTATTGAAGTTTGAAATGCATTCCTAGCACCAGCCACTTTTTTTTCTGAAAAAGCTAATTATGTGGATTCCTAATCCAAAGAAGCACATAAGATTAAACCCTTTGTTTCAAATGTCCTGTTCCTACTGACCACTCAGATGCTATTCAATTAGCAGCATATTTTGGGTGGAAGGAACAGCAACTGAAGGACCCGTGACTCCACATATGCAGCCATTCCAACCCAGCCCAGAACCATACCTTCACCTTCTTTATTAGAAGCACCAAGCAGGCAGATCAGAACAGATTTTTTAAAAATTATTAAACATACTTCATATAATTATTGAGTTTGCACATCTTGTTAAGCCATAATATGGGTTTGGTTTTACCCCAACCAATATTGTAAAACTATGATTTATGGTGTAGCATGTTGCATAGACCCAATTAATTTAGAGCCTGGCTCTGATAGTACGAATGACTGAACGTATTGATAAATCTGCCTCTTATAAGTGTCAGACCAACTGCCCTGCAACAGAGAAGCAAGAGATATGTAAAGGGATCGAACATTCTCGAACAAAATAATTTTCCATGTTTTAAAATGATTGCTTGGAGAAGCCAAAAGCTGTAATTAATATCTTATTTCAGAATGGTAGTCTTATTGCTTAATTACACATTCAAGTTGAGATGATAAATACTTCATTTCAATTAATTTTTAGAGCTTTGCTCTATTCCCTGTGGTTTGGAACTTATCCCTTTCCCTTTCTTGTGCATTCTAATAAAAACTAATTTCATTTTGTTTCATCACTGATTTCTACAACATATTTGTAAAATTTACCTCCAAGTTTTTATCATTTGAGTCTTGTACGGCATCTGTAGGAAACTGAAACACATTTTAAACAAATGCATTATAAAGATATGGATCTAGACCAGATGTATGTCCAGATATATAGAGAAATAGAGAAATTTCCAAGGGGGAGGACACAAGTCATCAAAAACCCCATACACTGGTGTAATGTAGCATCCATATCACTCTGCTATGAGAGCTTAAGGGAAGATGGACTGTACATACTATTCTGATAGATTCTTGAATGTATTTATAGAGGGAATACAAATATTATTAGCTATATACGTATCAGTTTCATTGGCCTGTCATTTAAATAAAACTTTTATCTACTTACAAGAAGCTCATAGGTCCCATTTATGCATCAGTTTAATCCAAAATACTGAATGAATAGACCAGGAGAAGCAGATTGTTTGAAGCCACCTCACTTAATCAAGGGGGAAAAAAACAGCGAGGGAATGGTTTTCATGCATAAATCATTTTGGCCTTTCTTGTCCTATGAGCAATGCAGGTACACATCTTACCAGAAGTGCCAGCTCTATCAATGTAGCAATTAATCTCTTAAGCGGGGGTGGAGTTATCCAGTACATGAATTACCTTCACTTCTTTCTTTTTTTTCTTCAAAATACCCTGTGATTCAGGAGATAGTGCCTCATCAACTTGAAAACAAGAACAAAAGAAGCTAAGAATTTTAAATATCTTCTCAGATGTAAAACACAGTTCTATTTTGGGGGGAAAATAGTTACCTATATTTTCAATCATGCACAATGAAGAAATCTTAGATAATTGAAGTGACTGGCCAGTATGAGAACAGAGCTAAGCTTTTAACTAAGAAATTCATTAGTTACTATTCCTAAAGTAAGTTAACACCTGAACCACATAATATAAACAACTTTCCAAAGCCCAAATATTAATCACACTGTTGTATTCATTAATCAGAAATTAAATCTCATTGAGTCCAATAGCACTTAAGCTCTAAGCCACTGAAAGTATGCTTATGCCCGATATATAGACAGACACACACTTCCTGGATCAGGAGGCCTTGCTCACAGTCACCCATGCCCTCGTAACCTCTCACTTGGACTACTGCAATGCACTCTGCATGAGGCTGCCCTTGAGGAGCATTTGGAAGCTTCAACTGGTACAGAATACAGCTGGATGGGTAGGAAATGGTGTCAGATATGTGACACATATAACACCCCTACTACATGAGCTGCACTGGTTGCCGGTGTGCTTCCAAGTGCAATTCAAGGTGCTGGTAGTCACCTTTAAAGCCCTGCATGTAAGGCTTTAAAGACCTGGCTATGTGCTCGGGCCTGGGGCCTCAAATGTGTTAAGGGCCCCGTCTCCTAGCTATACTGATGATTATTAAGATAATTTTCTTAGCTGCTGTATATATTTATTTTTGTATTGTTTTTAATTGCTTTTATTATTTTAAAATTGTTCACCACCCAGTCACTTGGTTAAGATGGGTGGCTACAGAAATTATATAAATACACACACGTATATATATTTATTTACAATCAAGGATCAGACAATCTTTCAGATGACTGCAGTCTAAATATGTAAAAAATGACTCCTATGGAAGGCAAGAGATAGTAATTCAGTAGAACATCTCCTTAAAAGAATACTCCTACATGAGACTGTTTTGCCACTGCATAATTTTAAATGAGAGGTAAAACTGTGTTTCAAATCCACTTTGGCCACTGAAGAAAAAATTTCCCTGCTGGTGTGAGCCAGACCACAATTTTTGAGCCTAATTTTCTGATCGCCATCAACTCCATCAAATAGGACACATCTGCTTTCTTTCTAGGCAAGTGCCAAGTATCTGCTGGCCTCCAAACAGGACATGGTGGAGACTTTACTTGAATCCCTGGCATAGTAGTCAGTGTAGTTAAGTGGATACAGGGTCGCTGATTAGTGCCTGGATAGTAAATGTCTAAATGTATCCCAGAAAAATTTACACTGCTGTGTTTAAAAGGAAAATCTAATAATATTAGCATAGCAAAATAATTATTTTTGCCATTGTTCACCAGAGGGATATTTTTCAATGGATTCTAAGGGGAATATAAATAGTACTATAATCATAAGCTAAGTGAGAGCATTACGGCAACCTATGGACTTGCATGCAAGAAACAGAGCATTTGCAGAAAAACAAATATATAATTGTTTTTATGTTTTCTTTTAGACATTATTCAATATAGGTTGTTGCTTCCAGCAGGAAACATAAAATTAACTCATACTGATTTTCCCACAAATGGTCCTGTTAGCTAAGAGACGGAATTACCTTGTTCTGGTTGCTCATCTATTTCTGATTCCAAAGTAAATACATGTTTAGCATGCTCCTCAACTTGTATTTTGCATTCATCTATTCTCTTTTCCAAGCTGGAAATAATTTCAGAGGGCAGTGGAGCATTATCATAAAGATACTGGGTAACAGTACCTAAAGGATAGTCATTTGTTATCTGGGAAACCAACGGATGGGGATCCACCTCTGGCAAATATGGGTATTTTGGCCAATCATCCTGCAAATAATAGCAATTACAAAATAAATGTTAACCAGAAATAATGTTAACTGTATGTTTTATATATGGAACCACCAAGCGTAGCACTTGACATTGGAAAATTTTGCTAAGTTATGTTTCCCAGTTGCTACTAGCTGCCTTTTACACAGTTGCTCGTGTGAAAAAATAAGACATGTATTGAAATTGCAACTCATATTTTACTTGTTGGGCCATAATTTTTTTTTCTTTCACACCGCATTTCCTAATTGCCAAATTACCTTTTTCTATCTCACATAACATTTCCAAATTGCCTTTGAGAAATTCCATCTTACCCTGTTATCTGGGAACAGTTTGACCCTATTGGGCCCAAAGAAATGGACAGGGTCCTCCAGACTGTAAATGCCATCACTTGTCAATTAGATCCATGCCCCTCCTGGCTGGTTAAGGCAGCTCGGGAGGTGACACGTGGGTGGGTCCAGGCGATAGTGAATTCATCCTTGAGGGAGGGAGGATTTCCAGCTGCCTTTAAAAAGGCACTGGTGCACCCCCTCCTCAAGAAACTGTCACTTTAAAGCCCTACATGGCACGGGACCAGGTTACCTGAGGGACCATCTCATCCCCATTACATCTACCTGTCCCACCCGGTCAGGCAGGAAAGGTCCGTTACAGACCCCATCAATTAAAGAATGTTGACTAGTGGGGTCCAGGAAGAGGGGCTTCTCTGTTCCCACCCTATGGAATACAATTTAGGTTTTATGTATTTATATATATTTATGGTATTAATGTTTTGTGTGAGCTGCCCAGAGTCCCCCATTGGGGGGAGATGGGCGGAGAGAAATTTAATAAATAAATTTAATTAATAAATAAATACTCTCTTCGCAAAGGTGAGGTGGGCCCCCACTATCCTAGCCTATTCCAGAAAGGGGTGAAGACCTGGCTCTGCCAGCTTGCATAGGGCTTCAGGGGTAACCAACCTTAGGGGTGGTTGGCACCCTGAAGATACTCCTTAAATTTGAAATATAAATAAATAAGCTATCCAGAGCACATAATCCCAGCATTAACCAACACACTTGTATCTCTTTCTTCCTTTGCAGAGCCTAAGGTGGCTAATCTATAGCAGGGGAATCTAGAGACCTCCAGTTGTTTCAAACTGCACAATCACCATCCCTGGTGTTTATTATTAATACTTTTATGTAATTTTCATACCATTTCCCATTCTATCTTATCTCAAAGTGCTATTAAATCTACTAAAATACAATAGTAAAAACAATAAATTAAATAACATATTAATTAAAAAATGGAGAGAGGAACCATTCATCCAACATTCATACTGAAAAGCCTTCAGTATGTCTTGAAAAGGATCGAAAAGCCTCACAAATTTCACAGCACAGAATATTTGAAATTGCAGCCACTAATGGGTAATTGCAAGATGAACTGCAGCTCAGTAACATCTGGATGACCATAGGTCCCCTTACCTGTGACATACAGGATTTGTCTTTTTTTATTTTCATTTAAAATTGTGAGGTAGGTTAGATGAAAGGAAACCATCTAGTGAACTTCAGAGCTGAGAGAAGGAACTTGGGTTCTTTCGGACCATCTCAAGTCTATCTATAGATTTAGCCCTAGTTGCAAAATAAGTCAGTAAAATTCAAAGTCTAAACCACTAAGATATAACACTTAACTTCTACAATATAAAAGCTCTTAAATTACCTCTAAATCCTACATATGAAAAAGACAGAATAACTAAACAGTGACTTTCCATGGAAAGCTTTTCACTTCTACACTATTTTTTCATTGCAATGGCCTGGAGATCTGAAACATAATCTTCATTCAAACTCCTTTTTCAGAACTTGTATCAGTAACATCCATGATCAATTTAAATCTCAGTCCAATAATCTGTCTTCATACACACACATACAAACACACATCTATATTTCATAAATGTACATACCAAATTCAGAGAGACTAAAAATTCATCAAATGTATGAGGAAGCGCTACAGTCCCCTATAAACACATAAAGATACATTTGTCTTATAAAATAAAACTGGTTATATAATAAAATAAACTACTTACTCTTTTAATTGAGTGCTAGTAAACCTGCAAGTTGAGTTTTGCTAATCTAACACTCTGAAGAAATATTATGATCAGAGATTGAAATAAAATTTAAAATATGAGGAAAACTAAGACCATTCTGATCTGATTCATATATAATGGTCAGCTATCTTATTGTTTGTATTTCATTATCTGTGTTTGTGAAAATATAAACCTTACATACATTATACAGTGGTACCTCTAGTTACGAACTTAATCCATTCCGTGACTCTGGTTGCAACTCTAGTTGGTCTCAAGTCGAGGTAAAGTTTCCCATAAGGTTCAATGTAAATACGGTTAATCCGT